CACTTTTCCTTCAAACTTGTTTGCTATTTAGTGAAATTAGTCATGGCGGATAGATCAGCCAAACATTTTACTCAAGAGTAGAGAAACCTTATATAAAGACATTACTCAAGTAAAAGGGGAAAAAAAGGAAGGTGCAGTAACACTATTCTTAAAAGCTGATTTAAGTCATTAAGTTGTTACATTACAAGTTACTACCCACCTCTGGTCTGGGTTAACTCAGAAGGTTCCAGCGCTTAAACATATCATTAAAAGCTTAAGTCCTTTACTTTTAACACATTTTCTAGAATTTTCATTCCATAAAAAAAAAAAAAAAAAAACACCTTTTACATTTTAAAATAGAAATATTTCCATTAGAAAATACATGGCAGATATCTTTTAAGTTATTAAATAGGGGCATTAAAAATCAATGTTTAATGGATGAAGTTTGAAATGTTTTGCATCTCCATCCATACTTTAATACTCTAGTTTTAAAAAAAACTGCATCTATCCGCCATGACTGCATTTTTGGCCGATATCAGCCTTTTTTTCCTTTCCCCACAGTGTTGATCCCTCCATCTGCTATCCAGCACTAATGTTTTGTCTGACTTTTTAATAAAAAATTCTTTGTTTAATCTGAGACTTCAAAAATTGGCACCCAAAGAAAAAACAATTGGCAGCTCATATCTGGGATCAGTTAGACTATTTTCCAAAAACTGTATCAGTCAATCTCTAGAGTCTCAATATCAATTTAGTAAACAAGGAATACAATTTTGCACACATAGAAATTCTCATATAAAAAAAGCATTATGAAATATGTCCCCGTCCTACCTTCAGGATGCGGACATAGGGAACACCATCGGGTCCGATGCGGCTTCCATTGATCATAATGTGTTTCAGCCACTGAATGTGAGGCTGTGGGTCGCTGAACACTTTGCATTCAAACTCCACGTCGCTGCCCACCACTACGGTACGATTGGCCGGAAGACCAGCCTGCAGGATCGGCCTGTGTGGGGAGCGCTCTGCAACACGGCAGAAGGGCAAACAAATCTTAGTCTGAGGCACACATGTACATGTAGGAGGACACATGGCTGAGAGATCAGCAAACAAGCCCAAATAAAAATCACTAAGATAGAAAACTGGAAAAACCTGTTACAATTACACACCTCAAAATGTATATAATAAATGTTATACATTACAGAAAAAAAGTGTTGCTCCTGTAGTTTATACCATGCTTGCAAATGTTTAATTCAATAGAAAAATGCTAGTAAATGTTATAGGTCTTTTTCTATGAACATTGGGCCAAATATGTGTCCAAATGTGCCAAACTCTGTGATATGCATTTTACTGGTAATAAAACACTTTTTTTAAGCTACAACTTTTCTTCAGAGAAAAGTTTTTTTATGAAGCTGAAGTCATACATAGTGAAAATATAGTGAAGTACTTATGAAAGTACATCATTTTAAACTTTGGGTACTGCATTGCATGCTCTACTTTGTCTTAAACCAGAATAAATAGCATAAAATTAAAATACCTCAAAACATTAATACTATTCTTTAATGCTGATGAAGATTCTCAGTCATCCAGGTCATAGTCATTCCATAAAAGTAAAAAAAAAATATTCACTGGACTCGGTTTTCAAGATTGCAGGCTAACCACTCATCAGTTACTATTTGCATGTTTCCAAGCAATACAAAGCCTTGTGTATATAAAGACTCAAACTCACTGCGGATCCAGACATTTGAATCCAGAAAGCTTCCTGGAGAGGTGGCGAAACGTCTTCAAATCTTAAACACCAAGTCCAGTGGATATTTGTTTTTTTTTTACTTTTATGGAACTATTCTATAATATTGAAATCTCACAGTCTCCGGCTGTTTGGTGCGTACAGAGATAGCATCTTAGGACATCGACGTGAATTGAAGCTCTCTTGTGAATCTACTTTAATAAATGACGCTTAGGTAACAGACCAACGAAGAATCTGGAAGAATGTCAGCTGTGCAGGATTGTCTGACAGAGACATACTTTGGTACTTAGTGAGCTCTTGTGACTGTACTTTCTCCATGCTGCACCAATCCAAGTGCTCATCAGGCTCTAAGCTTCTACTTAAGCCGGAGTGGAGGGGGAGGGAGCCCAGGGGACGGCAGCGATGGAGGAAGTGGGACTGATTTATAAGGCGAATGGTGTAAGAGCAAGTCAGAGAGCAGGCCCATAAGGAGTAATCACTTCTCTGCTCCGACCACATCCATCACTCAACAAGTAAACACGGGTGTAGTTCATCAAAACCGACTGCAGCCCTGTGCTGCTGGGAGCACATTTGATTGGCTGATCGATTTATACGACTGGAGCCGCAGAAATTTTCAACAAGTGGTTAATCAAAGATTAAGACATTACCGACTACATCCAGCTGATAGGTGTGATTGATGCTGCCGTACTGGTTTTCCACCACGCAGGTGTAGTTTCCCTTATCGGAGGGAACTACAGACTCCATGATGATGGTCCACACTTGGTCCCTCAGCTGAAAAAACAAAGAAATGGGAGAAAAAAAAAAAACAATCGTCAAGGAAACTGACCTGTAAGAAAAATAATCATTTAGCACACCATTTTTTTTTCTGCAGAACAGAAGCAAATGTTAACAAATCATCCGACTCATTAAACACAGGAACATTTTTAAAAAGTTTTTTTTTTTTTATATATGCGTGTGCCCCAACCAGTCTTATTAGCGCCAACTGATGTCTGGCTCCTTTTTCCGGGACATGTTATAATTTTTCTTCCATAAATCTGCCAAGACCGGTAGTGTGTGATTAACCAGCAGACCTCTAAGGCAATGGCAACATCAAACATACATATACACAGACTGAGCCATACAGTCTGCCTCATTTAGCTAAGAAATGTGATGAAGGAGTCCAGCTGCCTGCTGCCAGATGTGTTGTGCTTGGCTTCATATACATATGGACTAAATTATTCCATCACTTCTGCACGTTGCTTTACGGACGATATGAACAATAGAAGTCCTGCTATAAAAGTGAGGGAGGAGGGGGGGGATGAATGGCAGACGCCCTTTAGCTGCTTATGCAGACTTTTGTACCATGACCTAAAGAAAAAGATGAAAAATAAAAGAGCAGCCAGATGGTTCGGCCTGCAGACGGGCTGCTTTAAGGGTTTAGGGCAGGAGGTTTCTAAGAGGAAACTCCTAAATGTGTCCCAGCTGGAAATGGGAGATTGCTGGGAAGGCAGGGATGCACGGCCTCAGACTGAATTAGGCCACACCATGACAGGAAGAGCAGCTGAGGGGAGATTGCTTCTTCCACTATGAACATGCGTCCTACACCTGTGTTTGAGTGACTACTCAATGCAGCTTTCCTATAGTAAATAGCTGCAGCAGATAGTTTTTTTTACTCCTCTGTGTGCTGGTGAAGATTCCTTGTCATCCGGGTCATAGTCACTCCAAAAAAGTAAAAAAAAAATGGAATTTGTTTCTAAGTTTAAAGATGTTTTGCTTCCCGTCC